TAGAGTTTTTTTTCTTTGTTCTGAAGTTGTGAAACGTTTTTTTCGGTTCAACTTTCACCAGCATTTCCAAAGTAATTAAGTAATTTATTTTTTAATTAGCAAATTTATTTTTTGTTAAAGGATTTTTAAGTAATTAGCAAACCAATAATCGTTTCATCTTCTTTCGTTTAAATCACACAAGAATCGCAGCTCTCCTTTAAATTTTATAACACTGGAGACTAGAGGATCCAAGATCGAAACATTGCTTTCAATTTTAAAAGTCCAAGATCATGCAACATATGGTGAATACTCAAAGAAAATATCAAAGTAACTTGAGAAACGAAACTTTTCGTAACAAAAAAAAGACAATAACATAAAAATCTGGATTGGCCAAAATCATGAAAACAGAGATCATCATACTACAAAGGAAGCAACATTTATAGCTTTCACAAAAAGATAACCTTAACAGATCGATAGACATCTATTCCTCACCGAACATATCGAAACCACCATAGTCTTCTTCATCGGACTCTTCAACTTCTGGCTTCTTCTCCTCTACCTTGGCAGCTCCGGCAGCAGCATCACCACCTGCTGGAGCAGACACAGCGGCTACAGCAGCCACAAACTTGCTAGGATCCTGCATTCCAAATTCAAGCCCGATGGTTAATGTTAACCACAGCAATACTTCAAGCATAATGTAGAGAAGTTATAGAATTTGCTGACTAACCTTCAAGAACTCCTTGACCTTCTCTGCTTGAGGGAAAGTGTACTCAGTGGCAACAGAGATAGCTAATGCATTTTTGTAGGCATTGATGAACATGTGCGGTGCAGCAGCAAGGGTAGGGTAAGAGATGGCTAGAGCCAAGGAAGTGACCATGGATATACCAGAAGCAAATTTCTCCACAAGTTGATCTTCTGTAAGATTAAGAACCTCTGGGTTGAAGACAGAGCCATTGTCGTAAACCGACTGGACAACTAGACCATATGAGAACGGCCTGATGCCAAGCTTGGCTAGAAGGGCAGCCTCAGAAGAACCGACCTTGTCACCTTGCTTGATGAGCTCCACAGGGGTGATGATTTCGACTGTACCCTTGTTAATCTTAGTAGGGATGTTAAGAACCTAAACATTCGAAATTCATGTCTCAGTAACTTCATATTTTGTATCCAAACGAAAACAGACAAGTATAACAACAGCATAATTAAGCAGACCTGGAAGAAAGATGTCTGGGATGGGTCGAGACCAGTGTTTCCAGGTTGGACAACGACATCAATTGGGGCAACCAAACCCACACGAGCAGGAGCACCAACCTGTTCATGTGTTATACATATATTAGAGACATCCATTTCAATCCAATCACTTGAGAAGGCATCAAATATCTACATAATCCACTACTCAAGTTGATGCAAAAAAACAGTAAAACTCTAAGGTACACAGGCGATTCAGAACAGTGTTACGGGTTCCTCAATCAAGAAACAGCTATATGATTACAGAAATGCAAGCACGAAAACATTCATTTCGACATTAGATTCAATCAAACTCTATAATCAAACATTCTCTAATCAGATTTGGGAAGAGAAACAAACCTTGTACTTAGCAACCTCTTCGCTCACTTCCTTAAGATCACCCTTGGTGAAGATCAAACCAACATTCCCCTGCATAACAAACACGGATTCATCACAAATTAGAATTCAAAGTCTCCAAAACGCAACAAATCTCAAAACATTTTCGAAGAAATGGAAATCGAACCTGAAGGAGAGGAAGCAGATTAAGGATTCCAGTGTTTCCGGTGTTCTCAGAGTGAATTCTAACCGAACGTTTCATCATAGTGTTCTTTCCCATGAGCACCACTGAGTCTCCACGAAGACCCTTCCTGATGCTCTGTAACTGAGTCGATCCGACGTTGTCAGCGGCAACGACCAGGATCTGAGAGTACTCGTCGACAAGCTGACATAACTTCGCGTCATAAGCGATCTTCTTCTCGGCTTTCGTTGCCTTCACCATTGTTGCTCACAGGATAAGAGACTCAAATGTCCTGCGTCTAAAAAGAGTGCGACGGAGAGAAAAGAAACTAGGGTTTTGGTTTCAGGCTTTATATAGTTGGCGAAATTTGGTAGAGGATAAATGGAATCTAGGGTTTTTTAGTGATCTACATCTAACGGTTCGTATTTGCTTGTTTAAGTGCTGATCTGACGGCTATTGTTTAGTTCGATAATATTGGGCTTTTGATGAAATTTGAGCCCAGGTTCAGCATTGAAAACACCATGCTTTCTGGGTTTGAATACTGAAACGGCACACAGCTCAGTGGTACTCTAATTAGGCGTTTGAATTATTGCTGGTCTCTTTATTCTTTTCAAGGAAGATATAAAACGGCGTGCTGTGTCCGTATGGCAAATTTAACAGAACAAGTGGAGCAATGATGCATTTTTATTTCCAAACCAAAAAAATCACATTTTGTGAACAATGTTTTAAGATTGAATCTCAGGAACAAGTTCATTGATGTCAATTTCCACAAGAGTCTCCTTCCCAAACAAAGTAAATCCGACTGTTGCCTGCAACCACACAATAGAGAGACATTTAAACAAACACATTTGTGCAAATTCATCAGCTTTTTTTAATGCACACAATAAGCTAAAATGAGTTAACACCTTTGCGGTTTTGCGGTTCAGTTTCTTTAGGTTGCCTACGAATTCCGCGAATGTTCCTGATACAACTCGAACGGTAGAACCAGCTGCAAGTTTCTTGTTCTTTGCCTTTGGATCCTTTGTTTTAGTAGTAAGAGTAGCTTTTCTCGGGGTTCTTTTCGGTTTAGTTTCTGCAAGAGATTCTACGGTCTCGATAACATCTGAATTAGATGAGAGAAGTTTCTGTGAGGCTAAACTCGCTTCTTCTTCAGCTCGTTGTAACTCCTCAAACTCATTGTCTGCTTTCTCTTGTTCTTCTTTTGCTTGTTTGAAAATGGCTTCCAAATCACTATCGTCTACTGGTCTCGGTTTATTAATCTGTCTCTTGCTGCAAAATGCAGATACATCATCAATTCACAGAGCTTTACACAGAGATTATAGTGAGAGTGAGAATACTCACGTGTTTCCAACTTTTGAACCTATGAAACCTCCAACTCCATCAATTTCTCTTATGAAGTCATGTACCTCTTTGTTCAATATACATCTGACGAAAATGCAACCCGGGAACACAGGTTTCGGTTTCACAGATAAAGTACCGTTCTTTAGCTTTCTCTTCACCTGAACAGCTGGAGCATAAACCTGGAAAACGAAAATTCAAAAGCCACTTGTTTCAAAATCAATTAATAAACTTTCTCATTGTCTTCTCTATGCATAAACCATTTTCAAAATAAAGTTCAAAGATTTGCTCAACAATTCTCTTAGATGCCTCATTGTCAAAATCAAAACTCAAGATCAAACAATAACACATAACCCAGTAAAGAAAGTGACCGTGAATACAATTTCATGAAATTTCAGATTTTTAAACAACCCTTTTCACAATTTTGATCTCTATCATCTCATTGTCAAAATCCAAACTCAAAATTCACACAAAAAACAACCCAAAAATCAAGTAAATGAAATTACCGTGAAGTCCATTTCAGGGAACTTACGAGCCAAAGCTCGAGCTAAGACTTGAGCAGTCTCCTGACCACGAAGCCTCGAAACCCTAACCACCCACCATTGTCGACCCGACTCAGCCAAAGTATCCAGATTCAGCTCCTCTGTCCACGAAGCATAACGTTTCTTCGGTTTCTTAATCAGACGTTCCTCGACTTCTTCTCGCCAACTATACCCCGATTTGCTCTCTCGCCGTTCGTTTCGGAGCTGCCGCCTATCCTTCGCCGTGAGCTGGTGGTTCTGCTCGACGACACAGGCGGAGATAGAGAGATGGGTCGACCTAATTGTCATGTTAATCGACGGTATTAAGCTGCTACGACTCCATTGGAGAAGTCCTCCTTGGAGCTTCATCATCGTCTCTTTCCCACAAAATTCAGTTGATAAAATTCTCAGTTTTGTATATTCTGAAACAAAAATTTAGGATAATGTTTTTTGGTAACATTTTACCGGGAAACGGTATGAAGTAAACCGGAGTCCAATTTTTGGTTTGGTTTGGTTTGAGTGAAAAAAAAATATAATAAATCAATCGTATATAACTCACACTTTACCCACATTACATACAATAATAATTGGTAACGACATCTGAATGGACTACAAATTCAATTTACTTATTACATCAAAATAAATGTGCGAGAACAAATCAAACAAATATCAAATAGTTTGGGCCAAACTTTGTCTTATTTTTTCCTCTAAATAAATAACCTTTCTTGATGTTTTCAAGAGAACATTTTTATGTTGGTTAACATGTTGGAAGATCCGATGGTGGAGGTGGCAAGGTGGTCGACTTCGTCGGTCCGTTCTCAACCACAAATATCATTCCTAGTCCGAATGGCAAGTGAACATCGATATGACAATGCATAAGCCACGCACCTAAATCAATGCATAAAAAAAAGTTATGTTTCATTCATTAACAATAAAAGCTTGTTAGCTACTTAACCATTTCTTTAGTTACTTAATCAGTTTATTACTTAAATTTGTTTGAAAATGAAATGGATTAGTTCAAAACTGAATTTAAATAATTGAACCAAACATTAAACCGAACCGAAATCCGATTTTGGTATAAAGAAATGGATAGAGAGAGTTTACCTGGATTATCAGCTGTGAAACGAGTCACGGCCCATCCACCAACAGGCACGGCTAATGTGTTACGGAATTGCGGGTTAACGAGATTAAACTTGCTCCGGTCACGGGTCGGGTCATAATTACCAAACCCTTGAGCCAAAACATGGAAGTTAAACCCATGAAGATGCATGGGATGACTCTCAGCCGCAATAAGCGCATGGTTTTGTAGCACCAACTCCACCGTCGCATTAAACTTCAAAACCTTAGCACTCGTTGTCTTTTGAGCGAACAGAAGTTCCGGGTTCGTCTGTGTTATGTTCGGGTTCGTGTAATCAAACTTAACCGGAGGCTGGTCGGGAAAATCCTTCGTGAATATCCCATCGACGCCGTTGAAAACAGCTTCTAATATAGACAACTTTTTCGGTAAGACAAAAGAGTGGTTGCTCATCGAAGCTGAGAATTTCGGACACGTTGTGTTGTCCGCGCATGCCTCGAGCGCGAGCCCGATGGTTACGTACATTTCTTCGTCCACGTGGCGAGGCACCGGGACGAAGTGTGGTCCACCGACTAAGCTGGTCAAGTTCGTGTAGAATTTGTGAGCGGTTGGAGTGTCGAAGAAGGAAGGTAGTTGAGGCATCAACACGCGCCGTGAATATGACGCGCCGCCGTAACGGATGACGCCTCTGGTGGTGGTGTTTGGGAATGGAACGGCGGGTGCGCTTGCGTAAGGATGAGCCGCCATGTAGTAAGAGGAGCCGATGGATTGATCGGCGTGGAGGAGTGCGTCGACGGTTTGGCCAGGTGCGATGGTGATGATGTCGGTGACGTAAGGTTCGGTGTAGACTGCGTCGGCGGCGACAACTGTCAGCCTGTGATTGGCTATCTTGAAAAACAATGGTATGTTCATTGCCGCGTTTATGATGCGAAGTAAGTATAGCTTTCCTTTCACCACGTCGAGGGTAAACATTTCTATTAAAATTCATCAAAAAAACTAAGAAGATTAACTGAATAATAAAAAAAAATTACGTATATAGAAGAATAACAGGTTGTTTATATAATTTAACATTCGTTGTGCTGTTTTACTTTCCAAAATTACATGCAGAGTAGAAAAAAATATTATGTGATTTGGTAATGTCATTTTATTAAATTACACGTTATCGGATGAATTACATTACGATTGAGTATCAACATGCTAAAATACGTTTCTCTCAAATAAAAAAAAAGCTAAAATACGTCATTTGGTTGCTGATGCAAATAAGTTAAAAGTTGTCATTTTCCTTTGGATATCCAAAATAAGTTCCTCGTTAGTTAATGACTAACTGTATATTTTTTGTTTAATTTTCTTATGATCACTTACTGTCTTTGGAGCATGGATATAAGTTTCCGGGTAGACCATTGATTGTGTAAGCGTCGGAATTGTTTGGAGGAACTCCGGTGGCGATCGCGGCCTCCTCTAAAGCCACTACATAGGTGTTCCACCATTCACCTGTTTAGTAATACAAAATTAAAATATTAATGATTACTATCTTTCTAATATGTTAAAAAGATATAGAAGACTTTTGACCAATGCACTGGAGTATATAGAAGTTTCAATATTAAAAGGCAAGGACCAACATCCTTCGCGTCATTTACCAACTTAATACTAACGTGTGAGTTCGATCAGCTATTTAAATATTAGATATCAATTCAATGCAATAAATTATAAACTAATGATCAAGAGTCAGGAACTATAACTATACGCACTTAATTTTCAGCTACGTAACACATCAATTTGTTCGAATAAAATCTTATATATAATACGATTCTTAATGATTTTTTTTTAGAAAGGACGATTCTTAATGATTACTATCAAAAATGTGTTTTCTTTTTTTTTGGAAGATTCGTTTTAGTATGTTTTGTCCTCCAATGCATATGAAATAATATACGTATTGAGCTCGGACGTACCGAATAAGATGGGAACCTCTTTGTGGGGTTTGGGAAACGGATAAGAGTGACCGGCTTTAGGGCGGATGATGAGAGCACCGTACACGGTGGCGCGTAGGAAAGACGCATGTGCGTGCCACCACAAGGTACCTTCTTGGCCAGTGACGTTGAACCTGTATGCGTATCTATGGCCTGGCTGGATTGGGCACTGCGTGACCATACTTGGTCCATCCGCCCAAACCGTTAGTTTATGGAAGATCCCATGCCTACGTCAACACACAATATTTAGACATTCATTTATTTAAACATATGTTCGTTAATTAGTAAGTATATATGACTTGTATATAAAAATATGTAGTTTTAACTTGTTAGGGAGTTGATTAACTTAGTAAATAATTATTTCGAGTGAAGTTTCAAGTATGGTTGGTCAATTTTGTTTTGGTCTTATGATACCCTAACGTAAGCCATATATACAACCGGAGTTTTAACTTTTGATTCGATCGGGTTATTATTATAAGTGTCTACAAATTAAATGATATTGCCGGAATTCGAAAAGGAATAAAAGAACAACACCTAAATTCTCGACAAAAACACCAAAACTTGGTTGTGTTTTTTTTTTCTTTTACCAAACCTAAACCAAGTTTCAATTAATGATTTTGGTTTCACTTTATTCTACATACAAAATACGTTTGGTGAAATCATTATTTATGAAACAACCTAACACATAAAAACATATATAATTTCGTTAAAAATCATTCATTTTGTGGAAACGTTTTAATGTAAAACCGAATCCAAACCAAAAATTGAAATTGTATCAATGATAATAAAATTTATTTTGGTTCTTGTAGTTTCATAAGCCAATAGCTGAT